CCCAAGCTTCGGGAGGGACTGCCGCCAGGCCTGAGGGATAGCATTGTCATCCGGGAGTGCTATCGCACGGTGCTGAAGAAGCTCGAGATTCTTGGGAACAACTTTGCGGTCATCCTGAGTGGCACCCCGGGCATCGGAAAGTCTGCCTTTGCTGTCCTCCTCCTGCACCGGTTGGCAAAGCAGGGGGCACAAGTGGCATACAGGTGTGCATACACCAGTCCTGGCTGACTTTGTAGTCGCCTTGTAGTCGCCTGCTAGCGTGTGTTGCTGAGCGCCTTCCTTCTAACAAGGCCTTCCACGACGAGGGACCACGTGCTTCCTTCTTCTGTGCCAACCCTATCAGTCTGCCTCGCAGGTACATGGATAGGATCAGAAAGGACACCATACTTTTCTTCGATTTCTCCAATCCGTCGGCGATCACTGTCAAAAAGGCTTCTGAAGGCACTGCTTACTGGCAATCCATTCAAGGTAAGCGAACAGTTTGACATGTTGCACTGTGAAACCATTGTTTGGCAGCAAAGGTGTATGCTTGGCTTCCGGCTTCAAACAATTGCGAAGGTTATATGTTGGTGGATGCTCAGTGTGAGCATGTTTCCCCCAGGAAGTCAGGGCGACAGTATATTCACCTTAGAAGGCGCACTCTCTCTTGGTTTGGGCTATAATAAAGCGGGAAGTGACAGGGCTCTACTCATGCTCACCAGCAATGATTATCCTCTCTTGTGTTGCAGACCTCTGCGAGCGCCCTTCTGTCTGGCTAGTACAAGATGGACGGGCTCCCCGTGAAACGCAGTTCCCGGGCTACGGTCGCTGGGTGGTACTGTGCTCGCCCAATTCTGACAATTACATGGAGTTTGTCAAGGGGAAGTAAGTATTCGGACCATTGTCAACAGACCTCCAAAGTTAACTTCTTCATGGTTGGAGTGATCATGGACCTCAAAGTGGCCAAAGTCCTTGGTTCTTGCCTGAGCTCGAATTGCGCAAATCTTAGTTCCCTCGCGGCTCGTTTCTTCATCCGATGCTGTTCTGTTATGGGTCAATTGAATTGTGGCTGTATATCTTCGACGTTGCAGTCCTGGCAGGGTGTCTCTGAATCCTCTCAGGTTTCTGATTGTTTGGCCTTTCGCTGTCCTACACTTGCGTCTTCCTCAATAAGTCATCGGGCGTAGACAGACTTCCACCCCGTCTGACCCCTCGCTCTTGCCACAGCAGGCACTTTGCTTCTGTGACCTGCTCACAATATGGATCGACGTCGCAGGCACGCTGAAGTCTGGTGGCTCCCTGTGTGGACGCTCGATGAGTTGCTGGAGTGCCGGCAGCGCTTCTACCCTCATATGTCACAAAAGCAGACGGAGAATCGCTTTGAGCAGTTTGGCGGGGTCGTCAGGAGCGTCCTGGCAGACCCCGGCCGATCGTTTGAGCGTCTTGCGAGGTCACTCTCAGCTTTGGAGGCGGTGGACCTGTATCGCCTTGGCGCAGCAGCTTTGAAGAGCGCCATACGGCATGCATTTGCGCACATTGAAGTGAGTTAGCTTGAGGCAAAGGAGGGTCGACTGATAGCCGACCATTCAGAATTCGGCTCGGTCTTCGTTCTGCTCGTGTCTTTTACCTTGGGTGGCATGCAGTGCCTGGCTCTCTTAGGTCTCCAGCATGTATACAATGGCATCCACTCACTTGCAGAGGGACAACTAGCGCTTGACCTCCTTTTCCATCTGTCCATGTAGGCGACGAAAGATCTGGAGTTTGATGGGTTCCGTCTTGGTTCGCCGCGCATCGGGGACCTCGTCTTTCAAAAAGCCAAGGAGGGCCGGTGGCAGGACCTAGTGGACCTGCTGCACGCGGCTGCCAGCAACCCGAGGGTCGGCGAGATGTCAGGGTCCTCATTGGAGGCGTACGGGCATGTGAGGTGCGTCCTGGGCGTAGACCTGGACGACGACGACATCAAGGAGGTGTTCCGAAAGCGGCGCGGCCGGCCTCGGAAGCAGGAGGGAGCGAGACAGGGCGGGGAGGTGTCCGAGAATGACCCGGGTCAGTCGGAAAAGCGGGAGGAAGCGGTTGAAGAGATCAAGGAGGCGTTCCGGAGCTGCAAGGATTTTGTGTCCGACAGCAAGGAGGAGGGGATGAATCCGGCGGATCTGAAGCACACGTACCTCCGGCCAACCACAAGAGATCAAGAGTCGTGGGATGGGCTACTCTGCCCCGGTGGCGATTGGATATATGCTGTCCAGTTCACGCGCAACCCCGGGCATGGGATCAGCGCGCAAGGGATTCTGGACCTTCTGAAACGCATCGGTAGAAAGCAGCTTCGAGTAGTCCTTGCGGTTCCAGGAGAGAAGTTTGATAACTATGGTTGGCAGCCGTGGACCGGTCCCAAAAAAAAAGGTGTGGATGGGGAGATGGTCATGACAAAAGGCGCTCTTCCAGAGAACGAGGTCCCTCCCGAGCTGAAGAGCATCAAACAATGGGTGGTTCGCCTGAAGCTGCCTGATGCGGGGGACGAGGTTCTGCGAATCCCCGAAAATATGTTAGTGTTGCCTGACAAAGAGTTGTCCGATGATGACTTGTCTGACGACTTGTCCAGATAGAAGTAGATCGTGCAACGTGTCCAGATAGAAGTGAATCGTGCAAGAGACGTGGCAGAATTTTAGTCGAATGTGGAGGACCGACGCCTCAGCAGGGGCTCAAGCTTGTGTAGCTCAATTTTCTTCCTCTGTTGCTCTTTCAGCAACATTAATGTCTCTAGACATCGGCCATGCTGAATTACCGAGAACCAAGTCTCTGGTGTATGCATGTCTTGGTGGTACATAATGCCTGAGTGCTTGAGTGAAGCCCGGGATTCGCAGCATACAGTCGTGTGCTTTCCCATGAAGACTTTCCACAATCACGCTTTTGAGTGGGGTCTCAAAGGTTCCAAAAAAATGCGATTGTATTGGATGACATTGCTTGAATATTACGAGCGCGAGAAGCCGATCGACCTCATGTTATATGCGGACCTTTACTCGATGCTGCTATTGTCTGCTCAAGACAACGATGTGTAATTAAGTTAACTCAAAAGGTCTGATAACGACCATGCAAATCTTTTGCCGGCCTGCATGCACGTGTGGCTGGTCAATATCTCCTTCTCTACTATGAAGGGTAGGCTTTGGACACGTACGATCGCTTAGAACGCACGCGCAAAGCCTGGGCAACACTCCTGCATCATGCCCGTCTACGTCCGCCACAGTCCATTTGAATAAGGTGTGCAAGCTAATCCGGCGATGCTAGAACATCAGCATCCATCACTCTCCGAGTCTCCCCTCCGTCTCTCAGTCTCTCACCGGCCGGCAAGGATGCCCCTCGCCTTCCGGCGGATGCTGAACACCCGAGTCTCGCAGGATGAAGTACAGCGCACTGCATATGCCATCACGCGTCAGCGTGCGCGCTTTGTACCTCGGGGAACAGCGTACGGTATGCTCCGCCCCAATCCACTCCGGCAACTCCTTACCGCACTCACACCGCCGAATCCCCGGGTGAGGAACGCCCAGCAACGCTGTGGTGAACCACTGCTGATACGTGAACCGCCTAGTGACTGCATGCAGAGCTTTTTCAGTTCCGGAAGCCTTTTCGCGGTTCGGGGTATCCCCCGGGCCCCGGAGCCGGCGAGCCTGAGGCGACCAGGTTGCGGAGACAAAGCCTTCCAAGCGGAAAAGGGGGGCACGTGGCGGCAGGAGAGTGGTTGTGTTTATGCTGTATCAACAGATGGTCAGGGAAGGAGGCGCAGTGACATGTAATATTCTAGACAGCCAAAGCTGTGAGTGTGAGCCCAGGGCGCTAGGCTGCATTGAATGGGACTTGGACGCCAAATGTGAAGTGGGGTAGAGCCTACTGCGATTGTTCGAACTGGTTGTCCTTGAAGGGCGCACCGCTTGATAAGGACAAAAACGCCAGAGAAGGGTGGTGAGTATTAACTTCAACTCTGAAGTGGGCATCTTGTTGTCCCTGAGGGCGGGCAGCAGCGCCAGCTGTTGCAAGGTGCATGCATGCTGGCACCATGCTAAGATGGGATAATTTCCAAGCGGTACTGTCGTGATCCTCACTTCTGGTAGCTCGTGCTAGCGAATCACCATGAATGCAGCAGGTCCTCCTAGCAGCCGGTCCCGCTTGCTCCTGCGGCCACGCCTGTGGGAGAGCCTGCTGCCGTGGATACGAGCACAAGCTGGGGCTTGCGAGGAGGGGCTTGGAGCTGTTGCTAAAGTCTCTCCTCTTCTGAATGGAGGCGAGGCGCTCTGGCGAAGAACACCCCTTCTTTCAACTGTGGGCATCGAAAGTGAGAGCCTTCTCTCAGGATCAAGGTGGTTCAAGCCGCCTGCATTCTCAATTTCAGCATCCACCCTCTGCGTTTCCAGCCAGCTGGACCTTATCCTGCCAAGCTCATGGCAGATCCGGTCCTCCTACACTGCCACCGGAAGCCCAGGGGCCACAGTTGCCGCCACCACATCCACCACCGCCCATCAAGCTCCAAAATCAACCTCTAGAGTAACAGACGCTGTCCGGCCTCCTCCCGGCGCTGCTGCCACCACAGCCCCCCCCGCAGCGGCGGAGCTCTTATTGGAGGACGGCTTCTTCACAGAGGACGAGACGGTGGAGCTCCCCCAGCGTTTGAAGCCTGCGGTGTACGACCCGGGTGCCCTGGCCAGGCACTACCGCTGGCGCCCACTGCCGGTGCTGTGGCGGGCACTGGTCATCACAGCAGAGGTCGGCTGGCTCAGGCTGAGGTCGCTGCGGGAAAGTGACATCAACAAGCGGGCAGAGATGGTGAGGGCGCCTATTCCCACTATTGATGGCGATGATGAGGAGTGGCTTTTAGAGTGCACCTCAAGAACACTGTGCTCGCACGTCTTTTGTTGAAATGTGGGGTGGTTTTGGTAGGCGTTCTCTTATCCATCTAATGTAACCAGACTGTCGTACCAAGGCAACAAGTGATCAGTCACTTCCGGTGCCACTCTAACAACTTCGAGCTTGGTTTTTGGCCTGTAGCAATTAAGTAAAACAGTTCTTGAGACTCAGCCAGACTGCTCAGCGAGGGAACAGGCTCAGTTATCACGGTGCTTGCCGTGCAGCTGCGGCTGGCGCTCATCCGCCTGGGCCCCGCGTTCATCAAGCTGGGCCAGACGCTGTCGACGCGCCCCGACGTGCTGCCCCCCCAAATCTGCGCGGAGCTGGCCAAGCTGCAGGACCAGATCCCGCCCTTCCCAACACGCGCAGCGTTCCGCGCCATCGAGGCCCAGCTGGGGGCGCCCATTGAGAAGCTGTTCCAGGAGATCTCGCCCGAGCCGGTTGCAGCAGCCTCGCTGGGGCAGGTCTACAAAGGTGGGCACGCGAAGTGGAGTAACAGAGTGCGCCGGTGTTTCGACGGTGTGTGGCTCAAGCTGTTGATGCCTGTTGGATTACAAAACGAGATCGAAGTGAATGTGAATTAAGCGAGATTGCACACACGTGACTTGCATTTTTAGAATGTTGTCACTACTGAGAACTCCCTGTTTCTGGTTGCGAACTGCTGGCAGAGCCTTCCAGGAATCGTTTTCGTCACATGTCAGGTTGGTCAAACCCTGCGATCGATCTAGTTTGACTCGACATGTAACCGGTAATACGTCTGGAGACGTGGCGTGCACAACTTCTCAGACCTTTCAACTCTTATTAGGAACATGGGCCTCGTATTCTGGCTTGCCATAGCAGGGCGCTTTAGAGAACTCTATATGTTTTTTTGAAAACTCATCCGCTACTTTAGACCATCCATCTTCTAAAGAACCTTTAAACGAAGGCCAAGTCAATTAAAAATAATATGGCGTACAATTGTGCTCTTCTGCCATTACAGCGAACTCTGCCCACCAGTCTGCCCCTTCTCTCCTTGCCAGCACGCTTGCCCGGCCCGTATGGCGCATGGGTGGCTGTGAAGGTGCAGCGCCCCGGGCTAGCGGTACGGCTGGCGTTAGACGCGTACCTGCTGCGCCAGGTGGCGGCGCAGCTGCAGCGCTACGTGGGCGCGCGGGGCAGCCTTACTGCAGTGGTCGACGAGATGGTCGGCCGCGTGTTTGAGGAAGTCGACTACGTGCGAGAGGCCCACAACGCGGAGCGCTTTGCGCAGCTCTACGCGTTTGATGCCGCCAAGGGGGCGGAGCACGCGCGCGACTATGACGGGGGGTGGGACGGGCTCATGGATGCGCCCCCGGGAAGGAGGCGCAACGGCGCAGAGGAGGGCGGGGTGCGTGTGCCGCGAATTCTGTGGCGGATGACGACGCACCAGATTCTGACCATGGAGTGGATGGAAGGCGTCAAGCTCACTGATGCGGTGAGGCTCTCGGATTGAGTTCGAAGTTTTGCATATGCCCACCCCAATACTCTGCAGCCAATGGGTCATCTGAAATTGCGGGATCTTCTGAGAGCTTTTGTTCCTGTCGCTCTCGGGTCGTGTGCTTACGTCGTCGCACGTGGGGCCCTGGCCGTGTCTTACGTCACCAACCTGGGACGTTTACTTGAGCTTATTAGTTGGTGGCCATCGAGCATCAAAAGCAGTGCCTTTACTATTGCGCGCTCTGTGATGGCAGGCTGCGATCGCCGGCTTGCAGCTGAATGCGGAGAAGATCGTCGACTTCGGCGTCCTCTGCTCCCTGCGCCAGCTCCTCGAGGAGGGCTTCTTCCATTCCGGTCAGTGCCCGCAGCCCTCTGCCACCCTCGAAGAGGGTCGTAACATCGACAGAGCGCAAGTGAAAGCAGCGGTAATCTGATTGATGCCGTCTAAACCCAAGACCGAAGTTGCAGACCCCGAATTCGTGTCGTGCAGCTTTTTAATTCCGTTCTTGTCTGATACGCCTCCGTGCTGTGCAGACCCGCACCCCGGCAACCTGCTGGTGACGAGCGACGGCCTGCTGGTGTACCTGGACTTCGGCATGATGTCCGAGCTGCCGCACCGCTACCGCATCGGCCTCATACGCACGGTCAGCCGCGCCGCCCAGCCTGGGCCCTTGCACTGTCACTATGTTGATTTGAGCGCACTCAGTATCAAGTTGAGATAACATGACAAACTTGGATTTCGATAAACGGGCGGAGCCAGGTCTTTGATTGTTGGTATCATATAGCTCCTCTTTTCCTCCGCAAAGCTGCTCTGCTTCTATATCTTTTGGCGTGTTCTCCATTGTCTCTGATGTAAGTTTTGCATGGCTGAATCACGACGTCTGTCCGGCTTTCTTGTTGTGCAAACACATTCCTTAGACCAGCCGCCACTTCTGATCGCGACGTATTGTGGTGTGCAGCTTGTTCACTTTGTAAATAGGGACGCGCTAGGTTTAGCAAGCGACTTCGTCACGCTGGGTTTCCTCCCCCCGCAAACAGGTGGGCGTCACCCTGGATAACCGTTTCTGAAGCGTCTTTGTTGGATGATCAGAGTCGACAGAATCGACAGAGGTCTTTGAACCACCTGTTTTTACCAACGATGTGCTTTCTTCGAAGGCTTTGTGTAGTCTTGCATCCGTCGACACGATTGTGGTTATTTTGAGAGAATTCGAGGTGCCCAACCGCGGACATCAATGAGTAGGAGTCTCAACATTCTGATTGACCCCGCCATCTTTTGCGGTCCCCAGAGTTGGCCCGAGTGGCGGCCGCACTGCGCGAGTCGTTTGGGACGGAGGGCCGCCGCATGAAGCTCGACTTCCAGGGCATCGTCACGCAGCTCGCGGAGGTCATGTACAGGTCAGCGGCACCTCGCGCAGGGCAAGGCGGCAAGCCTGCCAGCGTCACCTTGTCTTAACATGCCCTTCTCCACCGCACTCGTAACACGGGGGTGCCTATAGCATCGCAAGGCAGAAAGACCAGCCATCGTGTCCTATCTGCCTCGGAATCTCGTGTTGGGTTCTTGCTTTCGGAAGGAGCAGGAGGATTGCCTGGCTGCAACCCTTCATCTTGGGGTGCGTTGCTGCGCAGGTTCCAGTTCCAGTACCCCGCGGTGTACACGATGGTCATCCGCGCGCTGGGGTCGCTGGAGGGCACCGCCACCGCGCTGGACCCGTCGTTCAAGGTCCTCGCCTCAGCGTACCCCTTCGTCGTCGGCAGGCTCCTCGCCGACCCCACGCCCGAGGTCGGCCGCCGCGCATGTGACCGTGCCCCACAGCGCGATCAGTAGAGCTTTGATGATTTGGACCCTCGCGCTTGGAAGCCTGCCATCTCTCTGTGGCCTTCTACGTCGTGTGCCAGGCGGCGCTGACGAGGCTGCGATCCGACGGCCCTCTCGCCTCTCGCTCTTTTTCTGCTTCTCATTTGGGATGGATCAGGCGAATACACCAGAGAATGTGTCTAGAGCAGCCCACTTGGTGTTCCGCTGCAAGGGCGCGTGCTCTTGCGACGCTTGATGCCGCCTGTTGCGTACATGCAGATGCGCGAGATCTTGCGCGAGCTGCTGCTGCACCCTGACGGCAACGTCCGCTGGCACCGCCTCGAGCGCCTCGTGGCAGCTATCGGCATGCAGGGGCGCCCCGTCACGGCGCCCGACGGTGAGCGGCGGACGAACCCGGATTTACCTTTGCCCCCTCTGCCATTGTACGATAAATAGCTTCTTTTGCCAGGGGGTGGGGGCGAAGTCCGCTGATTGTACGCTTGGACATAGTTCTTCTGGTATTGGAACATCGTGTCTCACCGCCCAGCACTGGTCTCACATCTCTCGGCAGTCACATTGAGCGTGGACTGCCTTGCTCTCCTTCTCATACACCCTCCTCATGACTGCACCCAACCTGAGAGGGAGACTCCGTGTCTGTGTCCGTGCTTGGCGTGCCGTGCGGTGTGTGAGCATACTTGAGCAGCACGTGTCTGCGCAGGGCCGTGGGGCGGGCGCGCTGCACTGGGCAGGGCGGGGTCGAGCCTGCGTGGCGCCCTGGACCAGCGGGCCATTGTGGCCGCCACGGCGGACTTGCTCGACTTCGTCATGGCCGACAGCGGGACCCACGTGCGGCACCACGTCGTGCAGGTCAGCCAGCACGCCAACGGATGGTGCTTGAAGCCGGCCGGTGGCAGCGGGCGTAAACGACTATGTGCAGAATGCGAGGCGTGGAGGTCGGCGTGCAGACCGAACTCGGAAAGGAGGGCAGCGGGGCGAGGATCTTCAGGTGCACGTACTCTGTTGGCTTGCGCTGAGCAGTAGTTTACGGTGGCGTGCAGGACCTGGCGGGCGTGACGGACAGCCTGGTGGGCAGCATGCTGGACCATGTGCGCCACTGGGCCGGCCTCGGGCCCGCCCCCGACGGCCGCGCCGACGCGGAGGAGGCCCACCCCGAGGATGCGCGACCAGCGGCCCTGCGGCCGCGGGTGGACGCGGCAGGGCACATCGTGGTGGCCACTGTGGCGGACCAGCAGGCAGCAGCGGTGAGCTGGGCGGAACGGAAGGGGAACGGGGCACTGTCTGAAGCGGTGTCACAAGCCCGCTAATCTGATGTTTGTTGCCTGATGCCAGCAGTACGCAGATGCAAGGTGGTCAGAGCGGCCTGTTCAAGATTTGAAGTCAGCGACAGCGGTCCACTTGAGCTCGTCAAAACCCTACTGTCGTCCACTTTTCGAAATCTATGTCGCGCTTTGAACCAAGATTCGCATCTTAAATGCCGGAAAAAGCCGTACAGAAGGGAATAGTCCGGTCAGCGTACTCGCAAAAATGGGACAAATATGCCTCTCCCTGCTTGCCAGGCCTTCGAGGCGAGCAGCCTGCCCCGCTGGAGCGCGCGGCTGATGCAGCCCGCCGCCGCGGAGGGCGGCAGCGGGCGTGCCGAGGAGCGGCGCATGGTGGACGACGACGACGACAACGAGGACGATGTGCTGCTGGAGCGGGTCGCGGCCGGCATGCGCACGCTGGGGAACACGGTGCAGGCAGCGCCCGCATTGTGGCTGCCGCTGCTGGCCAGGATGGCGCTGCGGCGAGAGATGGTGGGCATGGGTATGCAAGTGGGCAGGGAGATGGCCGCGAGCATGAGGAAGCAACTAGTAGAGGCGTGGGAGGACACGCTCGACCACAGGACGCGACGGCCTGAGAAGTAACGTCGATAACTCTGCCGCCCTGCATTGTTGTGCATCATGTGCGATTTTGAGCACTAAACCATGCACAACAAGGGCGATTGACCACCCTCGTCCGGCCACACAGAGTACGGCAATACTGAATCGAGAACTGGAATGTGTAAGTCATATCCGATCAAATGATATGTATGTCATGGAGCGAGGTTACACACGAGTGACATTGTGCACCTCTTGGCAGCCCAAGTCCTGAAGCATGTCACTTGGCAATTTTGTACTTCTCAACTGCCCTGGCGCCGCGTGCGACGCAGAATCTGCATATCGCGTCAGACGCGGCCATGCATGTATGGGCGCCGAAAAAACGGTTCATGCAGGCTCACGTTGCTGCAATGAACTATAGTGCATTGGCCCAAAGAGATTACGCTGGGGATCTGGTGCACGGGGCCGGTATAATGCCATGCAATCATGCACCTTTGAGAGCAGCCTGATCCGGTCGGGACCATCGGTCATCCCTATTGATCAAATTACAAGTTACATATGCCATTGCCCGCATGCATGTGGCGCCCGCACGCACGATGATAGACCAGGCTATAGGCTTATAAGCAATTGAAGCAATATCAATAAGATTCAACTTGATACTTGAAGAATCAAACCTAAGCCGGGCGTAAGCCAATACAAAGTTACCAGTACAGGCGAGTGGGCCATGGCATTGTGGCATGCCTTCAAGAACGTACTAGTATAAATTCCGAGTCACTTCGAAACATTCAATGTGACCGTCCTGCTTCTATGCATGCACTATCAATCATAGCGCTTCACGAACTCGAACCAAGGAACCATGTGCATGCTCAAACTGTTGAAGAACCTACGGCCTACTTGGGCATTGGATGGATGAAAACGAGATGTTATATCCGGAAAAGCTACCATCCTGATGACTTCTTCGCAACCAATTGGAAATGGGCAATGGAGTGTAGTGACCGCGAAGGAGTCGGTCATGAGATGCATTCAAAGACCTTGCACCATCTTGTAAGTGCTCAGAATTCTCAAAATCTGCAAGGCATGCGCATTGCGTGCAGGGTACGGTACCTATTGACTTAATGCGCGTTTCAGTGGCAACTGCGGTACGTACCACGGAGGGGGCGTGGCCACAGCTGTCCGATAATTAAGAGAACGGTCATCGAACGGCACAGACACATTTGTTGATTGCTCAATCCAGTCCCTTGATACAATTTCATGATTCGACCGTCTCATTTCGAATTTGAAAGCTCTTGAGGTGAAGTTTGGGAGGACACAAAATATTATGAAGATGTGTCAATTTTGGCCATTGAAAAGGTTACCGCGTTACTGTGGTTGCCGTGCTGTTCTCGTCATCCAACGAAGTACCGAAGAGGATTCCCAACCTCTCCCGCCATAACTTTCATTCAAACCATTACCGCCAGCCATGATTGCGTGGAGTTGTTCCCGCTGGCTTTGGCGCCACTGCGGTCTGCACACGGCCACACGAAAAGTTGCGGTCAAGCACTCACGCCCTTCATTGCTTCAAGGCATTCTTCCAAATCTTCACATTTGAGACTCCGGGGCTTCCATTGCCTCAGGTTGCCAGCAGCGAGCACCTTTCTGACCAATTGTTAGGGAGGAGCAAAGCAGCCACCTTCAGCATACAGTTGTACGTACGAAGTTAAAGGAAGGAGACTAACAGGAAGCCGAGGGGGACTAGCTAACTCTCTCAGCACGTCAAGTCAGGATGTATGTGATCAAGCGTGATGGCCGCAAGGAGGCGGTCCACTTTGACAAGATCACTGCGAGGATCAGAAAGCTGAGCTATGGGCTGAATCCCGAGCACTGCGAGCCGGTGCTGGTGGCGCAGAAGGTGACCACCGGCGTGTACACGGGCGTCACTACCAGCGAGCTGGACGAGCTGGCGGCGGAGACAGCGGCGTCCATGACTGCAAAGCATCCGGACTATGCACAGGTGGGGATCGTCTCTCACCTGCTGCGTCCCCTGCTTTCATGTGCCCATCTGTTACGGTACCAAACCACCCTTGTTACTTTTGGCGACCAACACAGTTGGGTGCCGTTGCTGAAAGGCCGATGCATCTGCCTTTGCAAATCTGCTTCATAGCAATCAACAGCTGTGAACTGCAACTTGTTGTCAGCTGTACCTTTTTGGCGTGCCCCTGCAGCTATAGAAGTTCCTGTGGAGTGTTTTCTGAATTCTGCTGATCTGAAATAGCATACAGCTAGAACCTCATCACCTCTAGTATCAATGGCGATGCTACCTAGTTTCAGAATGCCTTTGGTTGACTCAGAATTTGATGGTGGTTTTTGATTGTTGCAGCTGGCAGCGCGGATTGCTGTGTCCAACTTGCACAAGAACACAAAGAAGTCCTTCTCAGATACGTGAGTTTTCTGCTTCCTTCCTGGGCAAAAAAGGGTACTTGCAGCCATGCAGTTCTGCCTTGTCTCAGCTATCAAGTATATATGAAGCTCGATTTCCACCAGACACACTGAGTATTTCACTTGAATGCAATGAGCCCCAGGTTGGACTCGTTCGCTGCAAGCTTTCAAATCTCAACTGGTGAACTTACCGCTTGTCTCTTTCATGCCTCAGGATCAAAGATATGTACTATCACGTCAACAACCGTTCCGGCCTGAAAGCGCCGCTTATTGCAGACGACGTTTTTGAGGTCATCATGAAGGTATGTCATGATCATCTGCAGGACTTCTCTGGAGATGCGTGTCTTGCAAGCTAGTCTTGTTTGTTTCATGCCCCATGCAAGCTCCTCCAACACTGTCCTTCGGATGGGGCCTAAAACATTCTCTTCTTTCCCCCCTATAGAACAAGGAGCGTCTGGACAGCGTCATCATCTACGACCGCGACTTTGAGTACGACTACTTCGGTTTCAAGACTCTGGAGCGCTCGTACCTGCTCAAAGTGAATGGCAAGGTTGTAGAGCGACCGCAGCACATGCTCATGCGTGTGGCTGTCGGCATTCACAAGCAGGACATTGAGGCGGCCATCAGGACGTACCACCTCATGTCAGAAAGGTGGGTGCTTCACCAGGTTGCCTTCTTGCGTACTGATGGATTTGTACTTCAGTTCTTGCCTCATCACCACACAAGTGCAGGCAACCCATCTTTCCTATGTTGCCCTCGATCTCTTTGAAGCATCCTTCTTGTTAAGATCTGTTTGGAAGCATCCTTCTTGTGACCATCTTTTTCTTGCTCAAGCCCCACAAAAGCAGTGTGCCAATTCTTTCCCATGCTCCTGCTGACAGAAGCATGCGCCACTTGGTGTGCAGATGGTACACCCACGCCTCCCCCACCCTCTTCAACGCCGGCACCCCTCGGCCGCAGCTCAGCAGCTGCTTCCTGGTGTGCATGAAGGAGGACAGCATCGAGGGCATCTACGACACCCTCAAGGAGTGTGCGGGCATCAGCAAGAGCGCAGGCGGCATCGGACTGTCCATCCACAACATCCGCGCCACCAGCAGCTACATCCGCGGCACAAACGGCACATCCAATGGCATCGTCCCAATGCTCAGAGTCTTCAATGACACTGCCAGATATGTTGATCAGGGAGGCGGCAAAAGGAAAGGTAGGAGGGCTTGCCTTCCCTGCAATCTGGTCTGAAGTTTTGAGCTTGAAGACAATCTTTGCTGGCTCCCCAATAGTTTTTTACCAATTCCGTCAGCCTTCACCACCTCCTTGAGTCGCGAAGGGCGGCCAAGTATCTGCTCGATGCCCGCTTTCTCTAGACTGGAGTGCATGCATCATAGATCTGAATAGTACTCTCTTCCACTTGTGCTAGCCATGTAATCATGGACTTTCTTGCTGCCTGCTCCAGGTGCGTTTGCCATTTATCTGGAACCGTGGCATGCGGACATCTTTGAGTGGCTAGACTTGCGCAAGAACCACGGCAAGGAGGAGGTGCGAGCGCGCGACCTGTTCTACGGCCTCTGGGTGAACGACCTGTTCATGAAGCGCGTGGAGGAGAACGGCAAGTGGTCCCTCTTCTGCCCCAACGAGGCACAGGGCCTGGCGGAGGTGTGGGGGGACAAGTTTGAGGAGCTGTACATCAGCTACGAGAAGGAGGTGAGGCAGCCCCACAGCAAACACACAGATTCTGTCGTCCCAGTTTCAGAAATTCAGAAAAGTTTGTATCAAGAAACTGGCTCAGTCTGTGACAGCTTACTTTACAAGTTTCTGACCGACTAAGACGAAGTAGAGTCCTGCACGTGCAACTTTTCTGCGCGCATGCCTGCATCTTAATACTACCTCGTGACAGAAGTCACTGTCGATGCGCAGGGCAAGGCCAAGAAGGTGGTGGAAGCTCAAAAGCTGTGGTTTGCCATTCTCGAGGCTCAGATAGAGACAGGGAACCCATACATGTTGTACAAGGTACGTTCTTCTCTCCTGTGATTACTTGTGCATTGTTGTTCTGAACGTCCTTTTGCGATACTTGCGATACTTGCGATACAATATGGATTCATGTTGCAATGGGGGCTGGATTTACAACACTTGCAAGAAAATGTCATGCTGCTGAGCCCATGTGCTTGTTTCTGCGCAGGACGCATGCAACCGCAAGAGCAACCAGCAGAACCTGGGCACCATCAAGTGCTCCAACCTGTGCACCGAGATCGTAGAGTACACCAGCCCTGAGGAGACGGCTGTCTGCAACCTGGCCTCCATTGCGCTGCCCCGCTTTGTGCGCGAGCAGGGCGTCCCCCTGGAGGGCCACACCAAGAAGCTGGTGGGCAGCATCGGCAGCGAAAAGCGCTACTTCGACTTCGACAAGCTCGTCGAGGTGAGCCCCCTAGGTTCGACCACCGGCGTGACTCTCATGGTTGTGGAAGTGCACCCTTGGAAGCATACGAACGCATTCCGACAGCTTCGTCAGGCATTTTTATCCTGAAAGCGCTTGCTACTTCGTCTTGACGCGTTTTTGAACCTTCTCAGGCTCACAAACCCTCTGCAATCCTTTGTCCCAGGTGACGGAGCAGGCGACGCGCTCCTTGAACCGCATCATCGACGTGAACTACTACCCTGCGGAGACTGCTCGGCGGTCCAACATGCGGCACCGGCCCATCGGCATCGGCGTGCAGGGGCTGGCCGACACGTTCATCCTGCTGGGGATGGCCTTCGACTCACCGGAGGCGCAGCAGCTCAACAAGGACGTCTTCGAGACCATCTACTACGCCGCGCTGCGCACCTCCTGCCAGCTCGCCAAGGAGGAGGGGCCCTACGAAACCTACGCTGGCTGCCCCGTTAGCAAGGTCAGCAGCACGCACCCACTGCGTTTCTCCTCATAGTCGTTTGTAACGGCGCACTTTGCAATGCTGTGCAGCCTGTTGAGACACCAATTGAAAAATTCATGGTCCCCAATGGCTTGCTCTTGTACACTTGCTTTCTATCCTAGTCATGCTGGCCAGTCAGAACGACAGCTTGCTTGCTTTGGATGTCCTTTCCTCACTTGCCTCCCTCTGGCGTGTCCTGCAGGGCGTGATCCAGCCGGACATGTGGGGCGTGTCCCTGTCCGGCCGCTGGGACTGGGCGGCCCTGCGGCAACAGATCGCGGAGCACGGCGTGCGCAACTCGCTGCTGTGCGCACCCATGCCCACCGCGTCCACCAGCCAGATCCTGGGGAACAACGAATGTGAGTGCCGCCCTGGCGCTGGGGCGCACCAAGTTCTGCTTGGTTCCTCCTGCTGTTACCTTCGTTCTCACACTCCTACTGATCTGGGTGTTCTCATCACAGTGCTCACAAGCATTGGCACAGCAAACGCATTGGGCGCTCTTAACCTGTGCCTCTTGTTGTGTGCAGGCTTCGAGCCCTACACTTCCAACATCTACGCCAGGAGGGTGCTCAGGTAGGCACCCCTGAATCATGCCCTCCGAAAACCTTTCCTTTCGGGTCAATCTCAACACTTGTTCAGCAGTGTTTGAACGACTTTGGAATTGGCCAGACTGGTCTTCATTCTGTGTGCCTCCTTCTGACGCGGTTTCTGCGCGTGCGCAGCGGCGAGTTCACGGTGGTGAACAAGCACCTGATGAGCGACCTGGTGGAGCTGGGCCTGTGGACGCCCGTCCTCAAGAACGAGCTCATCCACTATAACGGCTCCGTGCAGCGCGCCGACATCATCCCGGACAACCTCAAAAATATCTACAAGTGAGCGCTTCGGGGGCCCCGCCACAGCCCACGTCCTTCGCTTTTTCCATACAGCCAGCTCTGAGTAGCGGCTGTTTCGTCTTTGGTCGAAGTAGAAGTGTAGGCGGTGCCATGGCTGCTGTTTCACGCTGGGAGGAGTGTGCTGACGCTCCGTTCTGTGCGGCAGGACGGTGTGGGAGATCAAGCAGCGCACGATCGTGGACATGGCGGCGGACCGTGGCGCGTTCATCGACCAGAGCCAGAGCCTGAACATCCACTTAGAGAACCCCAACTTCGGCAAGCTCACCAGCCTGCACTTCTACACCTGGAGAAAGGTCAGCGCCGGCCCGTGCCCACCCGCCCATGCGCCTGCTCCTTGCCCCTCCTGCCGGAGTGGCAGAGGGAGAGATAGTCTGCCACCTGGTTCCTTCTCAGGGCTAATTGAAGAGCGAGTAGTTGCTTCCTGGTTTCGCGTGTCTGGCTTGTCCCTTTGCGCGCATCACCCCCGAGCATCCGTCCCTGAGCGATGGTATCTGGCCGCATGCGCAGGGCATGAAGACGGGCATGTACTATTTGCGCACGCGCGCGGCTGCGGACGCCATCCAGTTCACGGTGGACAAGTCGAGCTTCGCCAAGGCGGGCCCCCTCCCCAAGCCCCTGTCTATCAGCCCCAGCCCCAGCCCCGCCCCGGCCCCCGAGGCCGCCCTGCGCCCCAGCGCCGACGAGCTGGAGGCTGAGAAGGAGGCGCAGATGGCCGCCATGGTGTGCAGCCTAGAGAACAAAGACGCGTGCATCTCGTGCGGGAGCTAGGGCGGCAGCAGTCGCGAGAGAGAGGATCCGCGAAGGAGGCTTTGCGATTGCCTCTGGATGCTTGATCACCAGGTGACCGAGGTAGAATAGGTGGCGTAATTAATAGCAGGTCTTGCTTGATCGGTTCTTCAAACATAGGAAGACAACCACAAAACATTGATCCTTGTACAGTATTGAAATCCAATTGGAGTACGCGTCCGGAGCTGTGCGCAACTGCGACCTCCTGTCCTGGAACGCATTATGACTAGTTGCTCGCAACCGAGAACCGAATGGCCGCGCCCAGGACCGACTACTCCTGTCCCGCTACTACTGCATCATGGCGCATCCGACTCAAATACGCATGCTCGCTTAGCACTAGCAGCACCAAGCTTGGCCGGCATATAAGATGCATGTATGTCTTACAATAAACGATGCGCCGAGATGTGTATGAGTTTCTTGAGGCTGAAAGTTTCGCATGTCTCGTCCTGAATGATTCTCTTGTCCCAACTTGAACGTATGGCCGCAGCGCGCGCGCCTCCTGCAAATGATTGAAGCAACTGCACGCAGTGCACATGAGATCGACCATTCCCTGCCTGCCTGTCTGGGGCAACACAGACCACGCGGTCAGACGCGGATATTTCACTCATGTAAGCCGACTTCGTGATGCGATTTGGGCAACGTTCATTGCATATGGCCGATCACCGGTTGCATGAAGTTGGCAATATATTGGCGGAAGTATGTTCGCCGCAACATATCCGGCGCGCGGCTGCATTGCACGCTGAACATGTATAACCGTCTATACCAAATTGTGCGGCCTGCAACGTCCTTGAGTCAAGGATTGCATAGGCAGCTGCCATGAGCGCGCTGTAAGTGCAGTCATTGGCGCAATCACTAAAAGAGGTCCGAATCGGTGCAATCATGCTGCGCGGCAAGTCAGCCATGCATCATATGAAGTTGGCGGGGCCGCCAACACGTGAAAGCATCCAACTACCCCATGCGCCTTATTTGACCATGGAATTCAGGACTCCGACCTACCCTGGCTACCTATCTGCTTAGTGCAACCGTTGAGCTCATCATGTAATCTCACGTGCTTGTAAGCACGTGAAATCATTGGTCTGTAGACCGTTATGCAGGCTCGGCTGCATGTGACCCTGTCTGTGCCAGCTGCGTCTCCGGCGTCCGCGGTGGCGTGCAGACTACCATGCATGTCGCGCAGGATGGACACGAGCGAGATATGTACTCACTAGTATACACTTTGTGTTCGAACTTCGGTAACCAACGTCCGTTCTGCTGTAATCCCGCCAACCTCCCATCCATATTTGCGCCCGTATTTGTAGATCTCTAGCAACTGCAAGTCGAAAGAAGGTCGTTGTTCAGAAAACGCGTGCTTGCGTAGAGGAGTCCTGCGTAGGACATGGCCGCAACAATCTCCGAGGCAACGGGCTCACCCATCATGCCCACAGCTGGACGCAACGAAGCACCCCCTCCTTGCTGGGGGCAGCCGTGGGCGATGCGGTGCGTGCGCTCTCACCTTGTCCTGGAACTCCCCGGCCGCGACCAGCTGCTTGTACATGGCGTACAGGCGCAGCGCGGTGCGCGCGTCCTCGATGCTGTCGTGCGTCTCCTTCTGGATGTCCAGCTGCACACCCACCCAGCCACACCAGCTTAGCCAAAGCAAGTGGACCGGCGACCTGCTTGGCCAGAGAACACTCTATTGATGGTGCAGCAAGATGGCTGCACCGGCCAACCCCGTGGACGACTGGCAACACGCAGCAATTGGGGTCAGCATACAACCTAAACGCTTCAGCCTCTGTCTTCAAAGTGGTACATATACTGAAACTGCCAGGACCTGCGTCGTGATCAAATCAAGCGACGCGTGTCTGGGGGAGCCGTGTTGTTCTGCGGTGGTCTGCGCCTGCTCCCCCGGGCTGGGCGGGCTGACCTTGAGGAGGTAGGAGGCGAGGAAGCGCAGCGAGATCTTGCGCTGTCGCTTGAGGTGGAACAGCTCCACCGTGTCCACGATCTGCTCGGGCGGCACCACCAGGTTGATCATGCGGAAGTCCTTCTTCAGGCCGTGCCCCACGAAGCGGCACCCCGTGTCCACCAGGTAGCGCAGCTTTAGGTACGCCTTCTTCAGCGTCGTGATGTGGTGCGCGCTCACGCCCGGGTCCAGGTCCCCCGGCCGCAGCCCGCTGTAGCGTGTCAGGTAGTCGTACACCGGCTCCACCGCACGGATGTAGTCGTCCATGCACGCGCCGCCCGCGCGCTCGCCCTCCCCGCGCACGACGCTCACGCGCGCCAGACCCAGCCGCGCGGGCCGCAGCACGGCTGCGCTGCCGTCCTCGCGCAGCTCCGTCTCCGCGGGGGCCAGCGCCACGAACTCGGCGTCGATGCCCAGCAGCAGGCCCTGGACGAGGGGGAGGGGCGAACTATACGGAGGCGAAGGAGAGCAAAAAACAGAGAGAATTGCGCAGGGGACTGCAGACTGGTGGGGTCGCAATGACCGAGTAGATCGAAGTCCTGTCCTCAGCCCGGCAAGTGAAGGAAGCCCGATGACGAATCCCTGGACTAGCAGCAGCTAGGACGCATTGCCGCTGCCCAGGGGTAGACGGGAGTGGGCAGTGAGGCCTGGCGTTGGGCTGCTCACTGCGCGGGGCGCCTCGGAGGGGAGATCGAAGGGCACGAAGGAGCGCCACTGCTTCTGGCGCGTCTCGTCGTTGAGGGTGGTGAACAGCGCCTCGTCGATGGGGCTTGCATGCGTGGCGCTGACGAGGGGCGCCAGCGGGCGGGGGGGCGTCACCGGGGTGCCCGGGCTGGCGGGCGCAGCACTGGAGGGGGCGCGGACCAGGGGCGGGGCGTCGACCCGGGTGTAGAACAGGAGACACGGCACCTTGTGTTGCCCGTACAATGTCACCTGCACGCACCAGCCCCGCAAGGGGCGCTTTCACCACTTATGTCGGAGCGATGTGACGGTGGGCCACCACCGGCCGGCTGAATCGATAGGCGTGCAGAACAGGCCGGCACACTAAGGAGGCACAGCACGCTGGCGGGGGGGCAACAGGAGGTGCTGGGACGGGGCAGCGCACTCACAACTTCCTGCGCGGTGGTGGGCGTGATGCAGAAGTCGTTGAAGAGGACCCAGTCGGAGGGCAGCCCCCCCCGGCCCTGGCTGCCCTGCCGCTCCACGGACCCCGGGGTGGCCACCTCGCCTGCGCCGCCCCGCCCAGGACTGGCGCCCGCGACACCAAAGCCGCGGCCTGGGTAAACCGGATAGGGGTGCGTAAGACTAAGGCACTGGAAAACGAGCAGGCCGGAGGGGACCGGATGGGAACCAGGGAGAGCCACTCCAATGCTGGGAAACAAGCCGAGAGGAGCAAGCTATCTTCCTGACACTTGGAAGCATTGACGGTCATTGTGACACTTCAATCTTGGACAGTTGGCCCGTCACCCGCAAACCCACATGGCCCTCAGCTGCCCCTGTTGCGCTTTACCCGGCTCCCTGTCAATTCTGTGCATCTTCATTTGCTGTGCGGCTTACCTGGCGCAAGGGGGCTGCCCCCTACCGCCGCGAGCAAAGCGGCTGCCCCCGGGGAGGTGGAGCGGGCCATGGCGCGGAAAGAGGCGGGCCCGTGGGGCAAGCTCAGGGAGGGCGACGCGGCTAGGGGCAGCTCACGGTCGGCATGCATGGGCGGAATCTGCACACGAGCAGCCACGTGGCCGGGTGAGCACAGAGGCAGGGCGACTGTGGGCCGCAATGAGGAAAGCCCCTTCGCCACGCTCGTGTAGACGCGTCCTTGCGACGAGCCCAATTGGCGGCGAGTGCTCAAGCGCGCTTGCCTTGACGTGCGCCACGAGGTGCTGCGGGGAGCGCTGCTTGACGTCAGCGGCCACGGCCGCGAGCTCCTCCTGGATGACGGCAATCAGCGCCGTCAGCTCATACCGCGCGCCAGGAGTCGCCTCTGGCGCCCCGCCGCTTGCTGCGTCCGCATCCTTGGCAGCCTGGATGGCCGCAACCGCCGCCGCGCTGCTCGACAGGGGCCCATCAAGGTCCTGCACACACGCCGGGGCGCCTACCGTGAACCGATCCTGGACGTAGTCTTCTTACACACTGCGTCAGTCGCTCCAGAGTGGACTGCTGCGCATCGCTGAGGTGCGAGGACTAAACACCGGACCGTTCCAGAAGACTGCTCGCGGTTCAAGGTGACGCGAAGCCTCATTGGAAGCCCGCTTGACCTCGGTCCCCAACCTCTCCTTTCACGAGTGCTGGCGTAAATCACTCCCTTGCAGCTTGCCGTGCTGACCTGCGTGACGGTGACAGAGCTGCCGTCCTGGTCCGCGTGCACGCCGATCTGCATGGGCAGCCACTGCGGGCTCCCCGCCACCACCTCCTTCCCGCTCTCACTGCGGCCCAGCGCGGGGCCACCCGCTGCGACGCTTGGCGTTGTGGGGCCGGCGGGCGAGTCGGGGTGCCAAAACGCTAGCTCGTGCGCGGTGCGGATGCCGGCGTTGAGCACCAGCACCGAGGGCAGGCTCACGGGCCACTTGCGCTGCAAAGATATAAAGGGGCGGCTCAGGGGAGACAACAGCGGAATGGACGGGCAGAGTCGGGGGGACACGGCACATACTGAGTTGGGGCAAGGGATCATCAACACGGAAGCGGCCACGGCCGAGATTTGACACCTGAGCGTCAGAGCGGACAGTCCTTCTCGGGGTTGATGCTAACAAGGCGGGGGCGATGCTGCGTGTTGCATGCGGCGTGTCACCTGCTGCAGGGGCTGGTACGCCTTGCAGACGGGGCACCAGGCGCGGATGTCCTCCTGGCGCGCCAGGCTGCGCTCCAGAATGGCCGCAAAGCGGGGCCAGGCCTCCCCCGGCGCGGGCGGGCGCTGCGGGTACTGCAGCTCCACGTGGAACGTGCGCACCTCGCGCTCCGTGAGCGCGTGCTCCACCTTCAGGCACTGCGTGCACCCACCACAACCGCCACGTCACACGCCTACACACCGTTCCTGGACGGACTGCGGCCCAGGGTCCCAGCTGTGGCTGAGCCACAGTACTACGACGCTGCTCACCACAAACTTCTTGCTTGTCCTACGAAACAGATCCGCCCCGATCTTCGGTAATTAGGTTGTGAGGGGAGTGCAAATGACAATGTCTATATGACAATCTGCCCCAAGGTTCAGGCTATACCACAGAAGGAGCGTTGTACACGAGAGCCCGTACCTTGGCGCTGGTGCGGAGGGTCGCCCCGAAGATCTGGTCGGTGATCGAGGTACCTGGCGCGGGCTGGTCGGGGGGTGCCAGCGTGGCGGTGGGCGCGGTGAGGCCGGCCTCCTTGTGCAGCTGCTCCAGCAGGAAGCGGGACAGGCTCTGGATGCGCTTCGACACGTCCTGCTCCTGCGACATACCCACGGCCAGGGAAAGCGTGAGACGGGGCCACAGCCATACGCCTTACTTCTGATGCAGGCGTTCCACCCCGCAAGATGCCCACTCGCACTGTCTGAAACTTTATCAGAGCAGCATGGAAACACAAGAAGTGAGAGGGGTTGGAAGGACGAATCCAGGAGGTTGCAAATCCCTCCGAAGAACGAACGCCGTGAAGGCTCGCAAAATGTACAACGATTCGAACGTCAAAACGGTGGGAACGCTATTTACACGCGGTCTGCCTTGGCAGCCTTGGTCTGTGCTCGACTACCTCAACCACCATACCGTCACCGGCAAGGTTTCATGTCTGCTCGCACGCTGCTCGTGGGATCGCGCACCTGCTTGGCCCCAATTTCGTCGGGCCCCTCGACCAGGCCGAGAGCGACTGCTTCTCGCAACTGGCGCAGTGCACGCAGCAGGTTGGAGGCCTGACACGTGGCGCCCTGTGCGAGGTCCAGCATGTGCATGATGAACGCCAGCTCGCAAGTGAGGCAGAACTCGCGCAGGCACACATGGCCGCTCACGGCCACCTTCACCGCGGGAATGAAGTACAGCACCTGCGCCCCACATGCGGCATATCACAGGGGGGCCCAAGGGAAACGGGGGGAGGGGGGGCGAAGGAACCGGAGGTTGACCAGCCGTCGAGACGTTTCTCAGCCGGTTCTTGCCGAACGAGGCGAGCACCAAGATACAGAGAGCTCGTCAACATCCGTCCCTGTTACCAGTTATCTCAAGAGTGGTCACTGCGGACGGTTGCCAAGAGTTTCCTTCCCTCGATTTATGTCGCAGCCCCGGTTCTTGTTTGACCAGATTTCGGACAACCAGATAAAGAGGAACTAAGGTCGAGTTGGGTTGATAATCTGGTCTGAAAGTGTGAGGTACTGAATGAAACGCCAATCGATGATCTGCGGTGGACGCCGAAGTGGCTGTCAGTGCGAACAGCTGCATCCATTGGCGACTCCCGAGTTGGTCTGCCGCACCTGGAGCAGCGCATTGCAGTAGGAGTTGGCCATGTCGTTCTCGAGCCCCGCGAAGCGCGTCCTGTTGTAGTAGCTGAAGTCGAACTCCTCGAACTTCACCTTGGCCGCGCTCGCTTTGATCTCCACGTAGCGGTACCCCTTGGGCACACGCCGCCCCACCCGCTCGCGCCCCGCCGCCGCCAGCGCTGCCACCCCCCCCTCCGCGCTGCTCGGCCGCTCGCTGCGCCGCGCCTGCCGCCGGTTGCGCACCACTGCCAGCGCAGCCGCAGCCTCGCCGTGCGCAGCGCCGCGCCGGAAGAACGGGTTCACCACGTAGCCCACGAAGTCCACCTGGGGCGCAGACGAGCGGGCCAACACAGATCAGGGTGAAACAGGACAGCGAGGAAGCAGGTGCGACACAGGGGGCCCAGCAGGGGCCAGAAAAAGTGTGTGTGGATCGCTGGACGCCAGGATGATCTCTGACTACAATGCTGCAGATTTCAAAGCACGGAGAGGGCACTCTTGACTGCCACTGTCGTGTATAAAGTGCTCGAAGCAGCCGCGTCTTGCCGACCAGTCGCAGGAGGGGCCGCTGGCAGTACCTGGTTGAGCTTGTCAAGGAGGGAGGGGTCCACGATGCGCGGCGCCATGCCCACTTTGAGCGTGGCCGTGGGGTCGTACGCCGACAGCGGCAGCTCGTCCCCGGCTGGAAACTGGGGCAACGCCGCAAACGAGTCCCCCTCGCGCAGGCTGATTGTAGGCGGGCGCGCGTGCAGCTCGGGTAGTTCCGTGGGCCCCGAGAACAGGTTTACGCGGGGCGCGGCTTGGGCGGACCACAGGTGGACGAAACCCCCGCCGTCCCCGAACGCCAGGGATTCACCCGAGCTGCTGATGTCAGCGGAGAGTAGGGCATCCCCCTCGCAGTCGACCTGTCACAAACAACAAGGGGCCAGCCTCAGTACTGCAGCCCAACTGCGTAGAAGCAGGAGCACGCGTGTGCCGTCAGATTCATCCAGGCTGGTCGCAATGAGTCAGCGGCACTCGAGGAGCCCCCTCGAAGCAGGCCTTCTGGCTGGCCGCGTGTCTTTTAGGTGCTGACTGCCCACCTGGTAGTTCTTGAAGTTGCCGCCGCCGCCCTGCACGTCCGAGAGCATGACCGCCCCCGAGGCGGCGATGACCAGGAGCGTGGAGGAGAACTTGGGGTGGAAGCGCAGGCGAGTGGGCCCGGGAGCGAAGGGCAGGTGCTGCAGCGCCCGGCCCGCCTGGCGCATGTCAAACACCTTGACCAGCGGGTCGCAGTACACCGCGCCGCGCCGGGCAGTCAGCCCGCAGCACACCACAGTGACATCCTTCAGGTCCACGCACGCCACCGCGCCTGCCGCACAAGCAGTGCCAGGGGGTATCCATCAAGGCGGCCAGGCCAACAGCAAGGCAGGGGAGGTAACACCCCATAGAGCAGGCCCCATGAGTGACCAATCAGGCGAGGGGGGAACTCTTGACACCCCTGTAGTGAGGATAAGAATGATAGTGCATAGCTTCGATTTCATTGCATTAGCAGCTTCCATACCTGCAAACGCTGCGATGGTCTGCTCCGCCCTCAAGGTCCGTGCGTCCCGCAGGACCAGCTCCCCGGTCCTGCCGCCGCATGCCAGCAGGCGCCCTGCCGACCGCAGCGCTGTCACGCCCCCCCCGCCAGGGGCAGTGGCAACAACACGCTGCGCTGTAAGGTCCACCAGTGCCATGGGGGGGCTGCCGGTGGAGCGAGTGCCCTCCGCCTGGGGGGAGAGGCCCAGGACCACATGCCCTGCGGCCGAGCGCTCCCAGTCGCAGCAGGTGGTGCCCGCCAGCGCGGGGTCTCTGCAGGACACGGGGGGATACACGGTGTGGGGGCCTAAGGATTGGGCGCCAGCTTTCACAGGACAGACTGGAGTCTCCAAGACAGATGGTCTATTTGAGGACCCTTTGAGGTTCGAAATGCGCCCCATGGGCTTGTCCCTGCCTGTGCCCACTGCCGGTCCCTGGTGCCCATGTTGCTGGTGGCAGGCGCCTCACCTCATCCTGAGCAGCGGCACGCCCCCGCGCGTGTGCATGCGCAGGGTGTCGCTGCTGGCGGAGAGCACCCCCGCTGCAGTGGGCAGCAGGCCCACCACGGGGTGGCCCACCGGGAAGCTGCTCCACACCGTGTAGCGCTCCAGCCCGGGGCACAGCGACGCCTGGACGCACCCCTGCACCAGGCCAGCAGCAACCCAGCTCACGCCAGCGACACCAGGCGCAGGAGGGGAAACGCAGACAGACACAATGGCCAACTCTATCTGGAGCCTAGTGGGCAATGCCCAAGCATTGATACAACAGCGTTCGAGCGCTCTGCCATATGGAACAACCGAGTTTGCCCCTGCCTGAGCTTCATCCTGGGCGGCAGCTTCTGCTGCTGCTGCAGCCCCAGCTGAACAAAGTGATCCTGCAGCCGCAGCGACGGGGCTCACCTGGTCGGTGGCGGTCCATAGCAGCTCCTCGCTGGGGTCAAATGCAGTGTGAATGGCCGCCTGCCGGGGCCGCTGCTGCGATACGGCCACCAGCTCATACAAGTCATCGCCCAGCATGGCCAGGCATCAGGAATGACGCCACCAGCCTGCAGAAGGAAGCAGGAAGAGACGCCAACTTTACGCAATGCGCGTTCTCATGAAACAATTTGGATGAGTCGGAGGAGATGAATCATGAAGTGCGAGGTTGGGAGGCTACCGCACGCAACGACCACCATGATCTGCAGATGTGAGATGATCGAGCAGACGCAGTAACGGCTACTGTAACCCGGTCGGCGGTCTTTGCCTCGTCTACCCCACAGCCAGCCGGGTTTTCCACCGGGGACTTCAGTGCAACCCAGGTGGCCGGGCCTGAAGTTTAGGGACCTTAGATCTATCGCGGTATGTAAGGGTACCGTCACTTTGAAGTGGCACCCCCTTAGGTATTCTGTCAGGGGGGGGGGTTTGGGCTGTTTCAGCCAATCGAAGGTGGGGAGGGGCGGGGGGCTTGAGGCCTTTCTGGCGAAGCCCTAGCCGGATTTTAGCTGAAGAACATGCCTTTATATACGCTGATTTTACATCTTTTAGGGCACCGTCATTTTGTAATGGGGGCGGGGTAGGTATTCTGATTGGGGGGGGGGCTGGGCTTGATCTGCTGAGCTAAGGTGGGAGGAGGGGGGGGGGCTTGAGCCCTCTGGCCGGGGCGCAGCCCCAGCCCAAATTTTTAGTATGTTTAGGGGCAAAACCCCCTTTTTTGACGCGGTTTTACCAACTGTAATGCCCGAGGCTTGGGGCCCTTTGTCTTAGGCTAGGCCGGAAGGGGGGGGCCTTGAGGCCTTCTAGGACAGGGGCCTGTAGAATACCTACCCCGCTCCCACTTCAAAATGACGGTGCCCTTAGCCCACGGGTCAATGATTTTGACCATTAATGCAACAAAAAAAACACTTTTCAACGTAAAAAAGGGGCGAATCTATGCATACGACGGGTGCTTTCGATCGTCGAGAAGGTTTGCCCGGGTGGTGACTACTGGTACCGGGGCCTTGACCTTTTCTATGAAGGCAAGGCCAGGAGGAGGGGGGGGGCTTGAGTCCTTCCAGCCAAAGTGCCTCTAGCTAAAATACCTTACCGGGTGCCACTTCAAAGTGACGGTACTCTAAGTTCTAGGCCCCGGCCAAGCCTCTCGGAGTCTCGGTGCCCAGTTGATCCGATCCGAAGGCTACTCTGACTTCTCGCGAGTCGCAGGTTGCGCGCAGTCCTTTGAAACTTGAGCAGAACGAGGGCGGTTGCCTAGGCCCTGCATGGGAGCTGCCCGCCCTGGTGCCGCAAAGAATGGTCGTCATTAGCAGACGTTGACAGAGGCGTTGGACAAGCGGAGGACACGACGTGGGGCCACAAGATGCTGCTTTGATGGGGTGAAGAACAGCGGAGCGATGGCGATTCCGGTAGCCAATCCAAAAACAACGCTTTATATTGGTGAGTTTGCTTAGTTGCAATGATTGCTGGTGCAATTTGCATTTGCATAACTTTCTGATTGATGACATGCTAGTGTAGCAAGTGCCCAAGGGTGAGGGTAGTCGCGCTGAGATCCGTCAAGTGAAGGCCATGTCTCTCCATTGTAGTGGTGACCTCTGAAGTCCTACACGGTGGCGTAGCTAGATGGTCGTGGTATGTTTCGCGGCGCCAGTCGGGCCTGCCTACGGCAGCTGCGTCCCTGTGCTGACGGTGCCTGCCTGAGGTGCAGGCGGGCTGGACGAGGCGGTTACGGAGGGCATCCTGCACGCGGCGTTCATTCCGTTCGGGGACATCAAGGACATCAACACGCCCCTGGACCAGGCCACGCAGAAGCACCGCGGCTTTGGCTTCATCACATACATGGAAGCGTGGGTGGCGCCCTCCTTGGATAGCGAGCGATTCGCAGAGTTGATGCAGTGTAATGCCATACCCAGAGATGATGAAAAGTCGGCAGTGTGAGTACATTCAGCAAGCTGGCATGCGAGCAAATGACGGATGTAAATTGGCTGTACGGAAACCAAGTCAACCCCAGCTTGGTTTTGCAGGGAAGATGCTGCGGCAGCCCTGGACAACATGAACAACGCAGAGCTGTACGGACGCGTGCTCACAGTCAATGTGGCGCAGCCCATCAAGATCAAGGGAGGAGAGCAGGGCTGGGCAAATCAACCGGGTACAACAACGGTCTCCATAACCCCAAACTTGTTTTATGTCGGATTCAGCACCCTGGCCTGATCGTTGCTCTTGGGATCATTTGTGGCTATGATGGAGAGTTACTTCTCTTGGTTTCGTTCCCAGTATCCAATCTACCACTTCCGTCTTCTTCTTCTTGCTCCTATGGTGCATATTAGTGTCAACACCCCGGATCAGTCAGGCCAGAGGCCTTTTGTTTGCAGTCTGGGCTGAGGCGGACACATGGTTTGAGCGGCAGCAGCAGGAGGAGGAGTTGGAGCGGCTCAAGAAGGAGCATGAGGAGGACGTGCGCAGGGGGCAGGCACAGGCGGTGAGGCACTGCACCACTTGTGACACCCCCAGTGACGATTGGAGCACCGGCTTGCCTAGGAAAAAGCGCTCTTGGTGCCTTACGATTCGACTGCTGAAGAATCGCGCACCAAGTGAAGGTTCTTCATTCCCATCGGATTCGAAAAGTTATCACCGTTTTGTTGATTTACAGTCATGCGGATCGGTTTTAGAAACCCCGCTGTCTTGAAACTGGCTTTCGTCGAGAGGGTTGACGCATCTTTTGAATCATCACCCATTCGAGGCATCTAATCCTAGAATTCAAATGCTGCAGAAAGTTCAAGTACCGGGACGCGATGTTGAAGAGGAAGAGCCTACTAACGGCAGGGGTGATTCTATGGAAGAAGCTGAGGCTCAAGCATTGACAACATAGCACTCTCACCAAAACCAATTTGTATCAAGTCGGATCCACCTAGACCGATCAAAAATCGAGCTACGTGTATGCCATGGAAGCATATGGCCTATGTGGCTACTGTATGGCGTTTTGGAAAGAGATTGTCAAGTTGGACCCATCCTTACTAGATGCAAATGCCTCCCAAATTTGAATGTCCAACTTGAAAGATTGCCAGGTTGTTTTCACTTTTTGACTTGTTGACTTCTGAGTTTCGAGTCAAGTTTGTTGCACCGTTTATGCAGATGTACCATGAAGTGCGCGGTCAGCTAGCGGCAGCACACGTTGCTCTCGGATACCATCATAAATTCATTCAATGACGTGCAGGCCGTGTCGTCGTTAAGATGCTCTTATGAATCAAAGCCTCAAATAACTTAGTCAATTTGATTACAGGACCATGAGTCATGCTGATTACGACGACACGAAAGGTGCACAATCTTGATCCGATCATCGAAGTATAAACACTTGCAGCGCGGCGTCTCATGACATGCCAGCCCGTAATATATCCTGGCCCGGATCTTGCTAGGAGCCGCGGCCTTTAGTTATAGCTTTCATAGCGCTTTTTGCCGCTCATGCAATTTCTAAAGGTTTCCGCAAGACGCCATGGGACCGGACAATCCTTTGCCTGCTCCGGCTATAGTCGGAGCATACCCGAGACAACTTGAATCGATCTAGAATTCGACAAGCCTGGCCTTGCATACGTGTCAATTAGTGCAGCTCTGCTGCAGGAAGAAGGAGGAGATAGGTAGAAGTCCGCCATTGTCGCAAGCTGCAGTGGAAGCCATGACGTACGGCCAAAACCTTAAAAATGCATGCACAAAATCTCTGTCGAAATCGTCACTCCGATGGAAGTTTAATAGTACGTATACGAGACTCGATCTGCATTTCTGTCCTACGCAAACGGTGTCCGATGAAAGAGTCCTGGCGAATTGAGGGCCAGGAATGATATAAACAGCATGCATGAGCGTACCCGGCCAAAATCGAGCCGGCCCGCGCAGGCGATAAGCTCGAGTTCGGACACATATAGGTATCACCTGCATTAGTATGCTCACTGACCATGTCGGATCGCACTCGAGTCAAGTCACTTATAAGTCGAGTAATTGTGCAGCTTGCAGTATTGTTATTGCAGGCTTAACGGGCTCAATAAGCTAGGCGGCGTGGTCTAGACGGTCTTCACCGCAAAATTTGTTACTCGATAATTGATTTGCATAAATGCCATCGATCATTTCACCGGTCTACTCCACCGCCAAATTCTCTCGGCCTCAAGTGAAGGTCCGACTGGATGGTGGTGCATAGATAGTCTGGCTATATAATCATTCACAAATTCAAGTGGCTTACTAAAGTTTCAAACTGCACATGACCAATTTGAAGTCGGTAGTAGCAAAGTCCTCTAGCTATTAATCTGAGTGTAAACTGGTATGACCAATGATCCGGCCACGAGCCTAGCCTAGTAGCTGCCTGCGCTTTGCGACGCTTTTGAGCACACCAGCAATCAGATGACAAGGCAACACATCAACGTCAATAGTTCAAGCATACGGACGTATCTGAAAATGGATCATAGTACCGGGCCACACTGGCGGCAATAGGGACCACCCGGCACTGGTGTGTGTTGAGCCTGTATTTACCAAGTCGATCACAATTCACTAGGCCTGCAGATTTGTGATGTTCAAGGATACGTTTACTCGGAGTCTGACTGCCTTTGACCAGTAGAGATCGATTGAAGGGCCAAACATCATGATTGAATGAGGATTGAAAAACCTGATCAGGTGTCTGGTGCATCAACACATTCAAATCTTGTATAACGACCATTTTATGTTACAAACTTATGGGAAGCTGAAAAGCACCGACCTTCTTTAGCCCATCACTTGGGATCTTGAAGCTTCGCAACGGTCGGACTGTCTCTGCATCGAGGAAAAGACGAAGTAAGAATCTGAAGGGGCTTCCAAACTACGCAGAAAGCACGAGTTCCGCTCCAGAAGACTGCTTCTCTCCTGCAAGTCTATCCGAATCAGAGCTTCAGGTCACCAATTCTAATTGTGAGCATGTGCATATCCAAACATGACTTGAATTCAAGACAAACTTCGAGCTCCTCACCCGTAATGGAATCGCAGGAATCGCTGTAGATTGTAGAGCTGGACAGACTCATTAGAAGCATGGCAAGCCAAGAGCAGGTAGTTTCTTGGTTGTACCACCCAGGCGAAGCGCATGAACAACGCACTATATACGCACATAGCTGCATTGAACAATACAAGGCAGTCAGCAAATTCGCAATAGAAGGCAGTAAGCAGATTGGCAGAAGTGCACCTCCTGCAAAGGATTAAAAGCAGCATACAATATCCCGTTAGCAGTGGGTTGAACAGTTTATGCAAGATATCTTCGTACACGCACTCAGCTCCGTATGAAACTCAGTTGCAGCAAGGGCATCGGCGAGACAAAGATGCATGCCCTGCTTTCATACATTGCGTACAAGAGACTGTCAGTGGCGAACGCTTCCTGCACACACCTGAGGTCATATTTCCAGACAGCAGCTCGGGCGACTTCTTCGTGTCTGCCATGCCCTGACAGAAAGCGGAGAAACTATCAGCATGGCGCCAAAGTTGCATGCCCGAATCAACCGGCACCACCGTTAGGCTTTAGCAAAGCTCTATCCTGCGACAAAGTGGGAAGAATCTTGTCACAGAGGGAATGCTGGCAGCATACAAGAAGTAGAAACCTTCGCATCGTCATCAGACGCACCTACACCGACAGTAAAACGAGCCATCCCCAAAGCTTAAGAGTGCTGGCTTGAGACTTGACTTGATCTTCCAGACGGGATTCGCAGGCATCAAGCGGGCATCATTCCAAAAATGTCTGCCACATCCAAATCAGGTGGCTTGTGAGAGCCGGGAAAAGGCTTCCACCAGAAACATGAGTCCCCTCACCGCCAAAACAAAGCCCCAATTGGCAACAGGACCCCAGAAGTGAGTCGTACGCGGCCCTGTTGGACTGTCAATGAAAGCCCGCATGCGCGATGCAAAAGTCGCCGCCATTGCTCCCTGAAAAGCTCAGTGATGGCCAAGTCTAAGGCTCCTACAGTAGTTGGTGCTCAAATCGCTCGCTGCGGGCGGATCCTGGAAGCCTTGCGCTGATGTGCTGCTATTGTCCACAACGGATCATGTAGGATATACTAAAAGTAATACTGTAGCTTTAGTGTTAAATTGGCAGAGGCACCATGCTGGCAGCGAACAAAGTACCTAGTGGCGTAGACGGTAGACCGTAGAGGCAGCGGGCTCATGCCTCATGGAATCATGCGATTCCTCCAGCCTCAGGTGGGTGTTCCAAGTTCGGCGTTTTGTGTGACGAGTGCGGGAACTACGGCACTGTGACGGTATCCCAGTCATTCGGTTGCTGGCCTAGCCTCTAGCCTCGGGTATGTAAACGGGTGCACACTTAAGTACTATAAGTGGCCCTGTCTGCTCAAGTGTCTTGCTACAGTGGACGCGGAGAGACTTGAGTAGAGAGTTGATAAGATTCTAAAGATGAAAGTTGCCCTCAAATCCGGAGTCAAGAAGTGAGTTCCACAAGTGGAGAAATCCACTTTATAGCTTTGATCCAAGCTTGCTGAGCTCGACGCGAGCTCAGTCTGTAAGTGTAGTTTAATAAAATGAAGTGCTGCAGCTCATGGCAGCTCGGGAGATAAGCTTAGCTAAGCTAAGCTCATCATATTTAAACCAATGAGAATCGAGTATTTATTTAAGAAGATCATGTTACCGTTAGAGGGGGAAACCCTTAGATTATCGTATAATCAGATTGTGTTTATCGGCATATCTACGGCTATAAATGCTTAAGAAATATCCACGTGTTACAGCAGTCCCCCCCTTAAGTACCAGCAACGTCCTCGTTGCTGGGGTCTAAATTCACCAAGTGGGCGGCGACCCATTGGGCTTCGTGGAAGGGTTAGTCGCGGTATGTTACTAAGTACTGTGTGCGTTGCCGGGTACCGCGGCCGACGGTACGCTGTTCCACGACACTGTCTATAGGGTGTTGGGGTTGGTCAGCGGTGAGTATTGGTGGTGGTGGAGGGGGGTCTCGGTTGGTAAAGCGGGTAGGGTCGTTTGGTTGGTACGGTTTGAGTTGGGAGACATGGAAGACTGGGTGTATGGTCATGTGGGGGGGTAGGTCTAGGCGGTACGCTACGTCGGAGATGGTTTGGATGATTGTGAAATGATGGACCGGTGAATTTTGGGGTAAGTTTGCGAACTTGTGATCGGGTGGGAAGCGACAGGTTAGTGGTGGCCAAGTAGACTTGGTCGCCAGGTTGGAATGTCAGGGGGCGGCGGCGTTGGTCGGCGTATTGTTTTTGGCGGTTTTGGGCGAGGACTAGGAGGGTTTTGGCTTCGACGAGGGAAGCGGCGATGTTGTTAGGAATTGATCTGCGGCGGCGGTATCGGAGGAAGGTGGTTTTAGGAGGGCGGAGGGTGTGAGAGGGTGTCTACCGGTGTTTAGGTAGAATGGTGAGTGGCCGGTGGATGCTTGTACCGAGTTGTTGTAGGCGAATTCGATAGGGATGAGGTATAGGTCCCAGTCAGTGTGCCGGGCGTTGACGTAGGGTCGGAGAGCCTCCTCGATGACCCGGTTCACGCGCTCGGTTTGACCGTCGGTTTGGGGATGAAATGCGGTGGAGTACGATAGTTTGGTACCAAGTAACCTGAAGAGGGACCGCCAAAAGTTAGATGTGAACCGTGGGTCCCTGTCGGAGAGGATGACTCGGGACAAGCCCTTATGTCTGAAGACATTATCGAAATATACCTGTGCGATGGAAGGGGCAGTGGTGTCATCAGAGATGGGTGCAATTTTAATTTCCTTAGATAACCGGTCGACAAAGACAGCAATGCCGGAATTTCCGCATGTAGTTTTAGGTAAGTCCACAATTAAGTCCATTGAAATTTGCTCCCACCGCTCCTGGGGGATAGGAAGTGGCTGTAATAGACCCCCAGGGCGGCGGTTGCTGGGTTTGTTGCGTTGGCAGGCGTCGCAAGTGCGAATGTAACGCCGGACGTCCGCTTGGAGGTCCGGCCAGTAGAAGGTGCGGGCGACCAACTCTTCGGTCTTGTCCATACCTAGGTGGGCGGCAGCGTTACAATCGTGGTTAGCTTGGAGTACTCGGGTACGGAGTGCAGGTACTGGAGGAATGTATAGGCGATCGGAGTTATAGAGCAGACCGTCGTCAAGCGAAAAAGACTCAAATGCAGTGTCAGCTAGAACCATACGGGAAACGACCATCTGGGCGTAAGGGTCCGCCGTAGTGGCTAGGCGGAGATCTGTTAGAAAAGCCCGGTCGGGAATTAGACTTGACACTGCAGCAAGAACGGGTTGGTTAGCGGGAGGTTCGGGCTTGTGGTCCGGGCGCCTTGAGAGGGCGTCCGGTACAATGTTGAGGCGCCCCTCCCTGTACGTGAGATTGAGGTCAAATTGGGTGAGTTGCTCCTCCCACCGGTGGTGGCGGGAGCGCATGTACTCCAGCTTAAGTGGGTACAAGAGTGGCAGGATCGGTGCGAACCGCCACCGAGCGACCAAGAACGGTAGTGGCGCCACTTGTGCGTGGCGTGTACTAGGGCTAGCTGCTCCCGGTTGCGTGCGGAGTAGTTCCGCTCAGCGCGATTGAGTCGTTTAGACTCAAACGCGACCGGGTGAAGATTGGTACCGGCGGTACCTTGCAAAAGTACACCTCCGACCGCAAAGTCGGAGGCATCGATGTCGAGTGTACAAGGAAGGTCAGGGTTAAAGGGGCGCAAGATAGGTGCATGGGTTAGCGAAAATGTGAGTGAGTGGAATGCGTGGTTATGTGTATCCGTCCACTCGAATTTTGCACCCTTCACCAGCAAATCAGTCAGAGGAGCGGCAAGGCGAGAAAAATCACGAACAAATCGACGATAAAAGCCAGCCAAACCAAGAAATGAGCGAATATGGCCAGGGTCCTGGGGTTGAGGCCATGTGGTGATCGCCGCAACCTTGCATGCCTCCATTGACACCCCTTCAGCGTTGATGACGTGGCCGAGGAAGGTGACCTCGGTACGCCATAATTCACACTTGGACTCCTTGGCGTAGAGGGTGTGGTTGCGCAGGCGTGTGAATACCTCCCGGAGGAGGCGCTCGTGTTCCTCTGCAGAATCAGAGTATATTAAAATATCATCGAGGAAAATGACGACGCCCCCGGGGTCGAGCAAATCTCGAAAGACCGACGGTGTGCATGAGATCCATGAAGGCGGCCGGGGCGTTAGTCAAGCCAAAGGGTAGAACCAGCCACTCGAAGTGGCCGTACCGGGTGCGGAAGGCGGTTTTAGTGACGTCATCGGGGTGGATAGGGATCTGCCAATAACCGGAGCGCAAGTCGATTTTAGAA